ATAATACATCGTGTACACTCACTAAACAGAGTGACAGAGACCGAGACAGTGACAGAGCAGAGCCAATTCATAAAAGAACAATATTTAAAGCACACGTCCAGAGTGAAGGAAATCCGTTTGGGAGTGGAGAGATTTGTCCTCGCGCACATGGATCGCGTAACATTATGCGCTCTCGACATTGTCATTAAGATCACACTATAGAAACCGCCTAAAATTAAGTATAAAGAAGAGAAGAAAGCGGCCCTAGGCAGCTGCCTATATACCAGGATCCGCCACTGCCAGATGCAGTTAGAAATTTACTAAAAACAAGCCTATCGCAAGACATCTCGGGGAGGGGGGGCACCTGGGGTGGCCAGCCAAATTTCAGGGGGGGGCGGTGCCACCCCTGGCCACCACGTAGACACGCCCCTGACTGTTTGCAAACACTGAAATTGGTCTATAAAGGCAGTGTTGGTGAACAAAAGAAGCTTCTTTCAAAAACAAAAAAAATATTTTGGGAAAATCAACCAAATAAATGGTATATAATTGACTCCGTATATTAAACAAGGATACAAGACAAATTTTTGAGAACATAAACTGACACTCAGCATTAAAGAGTTGCCATACCGAGCTTAGGGAACACAATGAGGTATTCAGCATTGCATTGTGGGCAGGCAACGCGTGCGGTGCTGTTGCCCCTCTGTTTCTCATCAACCCAGCGCTGAAGACACGACTGATGAACCCATTTAGTTGAACCACGGCAGCGGCACGGACGCACCCACTCCGCCGTACGGTCATCCTCATCTGTGGCAAAACACACCCAACAACTCCTGAAACACACACACACAGAGAGACAGAAACACATAAGCACTCGGCTCAGGGTTTAATTCAGGGCAAAGTATAACAACATAAAGGTGAAGAGAAACTTTGTCATGTAGCTGTGTAAAGTTCAAGGCTCCAGGAGTTATTTTTATAGTTCATCTCTTAAAAGTATCAAGGGACAGTCTGCAAAAAAGAAAAAAGGAAGAGAGGCAACTGCAGCAGAGTAATATGGGTCAGTGACTAAGCACAAATGAAACAAGATTATCAACTCCACCTCAAACGACGAACAAAACATGTTATCATTTTAATCTCACTGTCATTTTTTTCAACAACCCAACTGTCCAAACCATCATGCTCAAGATAAAACTTGTTTTATATACTAAGGTCTTAGTAAATGAATTACAGAATGTCAATTACTCAAATGATCACAATTGCATGCTCATTCACATATCAGCATTTTTGCTAAGAAAAGCCCACAAATTAAGATCATTTACAGACATAGTTAAATAGTTTTATTTAATGTGTTTTTGGTGAATTAATTACATAATATGCCAATTAATTACTCAGAAAGATGTCTAAATGCATTGTTTGATTTGTTGTCCAGCATCACAATGACTATGTCTAATGATGATCCTTATCCATGTCAAATCTCTCAGTGTTTCTGCGCTGCTGGATGAGGGATAGAGACTCGCCGTTCTCTCAGGTTCCTGTGCGAGATTTTCCATTCTGGCCGTTTTTGAATAAAACATGAGGGATGACGAAGAGGCGCTCAGGTGACCGCGATCAGTCGTGTGCTCCTAATCATGAACCTCCTGTAATCATCTCAGGACTATCAGATGACAATCACAGACCCAAACAAGAAACAACAGATTTGTGCTTTTATGCACTTCAGCTTCTTTAAAACATGCCCTGATCTCAGTTTAAATAATATCTGAGTTTAATGTACAAAGATATCTTTCGGTGCTGATTGTGTGTTAAATCAAGCATATTGGTAGCTGAAAGCACAAGTGCATTAAGACAATAGTTCAACAAATTAAAAATTGCTGTACTCACCCTCAGGCCATCCAAGATGTAGAGTTACAATAATTAATTTTGAATAATTTGATAATTAGTGAAGAATTTATAACAAACATGAGTTTTTGCTTCATAATTGTTGGAGTCGTGTGAACTACTTGTGGATTATTGTGATGTTTTTATCAGCTGTTTGACTCTCATTCTGACGGCACCCATTCACTGCAGAGGATCCACTGGTGAGCAAGTGATGTAATGCTACATTTCTATAAATCTGTTCCCAACTCATCTACATCTTGGATGGCCTGGAGGGGAGTAAATTTTTTATTTTGTGGTGAACTATTCCTATAAAAACACAAAAGCACAAAATATTTAGTTAAAAAAAAAAAGGTTGGAAGATGTGTACAATTTTTGGGAATGACAAATTACAGAACTAGAAAACTCTTTTTACGATAGAATCTGAATGTATGATTCTTTCTTGAAAGTGACTATCATAGATGAGGAACAAAAGACCAGAAGCAATATAAATAGTGACGAAATGATCAGAGATCTTCACAAGATCAGAGCTACAGACAAAGACGGTTGTCAATGTTCCCCGCATCTCCTGTTCCTGTAACCCTGCGTCTATCATGATAACCATCAGAAACACAATCACCCCCGTGAAACCCAAGCCATCTCGCCGTCGCCCCTCACTCAAACACACTCATGTAACATGGATTTACACACTAAGAGCGGTGTTCATTAAGGTGCACTGTGAAAGGTCAGACAACCCGATTATCAGCCAATAAACAAGGTAAAACAAATTGTGCTGTGAAACACAATCTGATTTAGGCTTGTTTGCCTTCACTCAACAGGGGTAAAGTTTCAAACTACAGGCTATATTATCCACAGTAAAATACAAACAAGATATGACATATGATAGGATGATGCCATTTTTGTCTGTTTTGTGGGAGAAAAACAATTCACAAATACGTCACAATTCTTTCAATAACAATTGTGCTTTAAACCACAAATAAATTAATTAAAATTAAATAAAATAAATACTAATAATATTTTTAGCATTTAGATATACTGCACAAATAACAAACTACTAATGAAATTATTAGAAATTTTTCCCATTCATTTTTTAAAGGAGTGGACCATTTTCCCTTATAATGCAGGCTGGTTATGCTTTTTTTCTTTTCTTATTTGTAAATTCATGATTCTCTGACTCAAAATCAAATAATACAGAATAAAAATGAGGAGGCATTTAAAAATTCCCAGTCATAATATTTTGTGGCCATGCAAACTAGATCATAAACCTTGCTCTTGCTGGCTTCTGTTCATTTTTACGATGATAACATAAACAATACGCTTATTACAGCACCATATCTCCACACATGCAAACCAAACAACTTGTGAATAATAAGGCTAATACAATGTTGACTTTGCCTAGCTGAACAACTGTGATCACATTCTGTCCACTGCTGTAAGTGAAGACACATGACAGAATTACTCTTCAGCAGCACTGTTTGTGATAATATATATGATGCTTAAAATATCTCAAATATACCGGACCATTTCCCATTAAAGGGGTCATATGACGATGCTAAAAAGAACATTATGTTGTGTATTTGGTGTAATGCAATGTGTTTATGCGGTTTAAGGTTTAAAAAACACATTATTTTCCACATAATGTACATTATTGTTGCTCCTCTATGCCTTTAAATCATGTAAATATTCCAGGAAAAAATGCTGCAAAAATGCCTTGTCCAGAAAACAGGCATCTTGACCTCTAGATTTACATTACTAGAGTTCTTGCAGAATATAGCTCTAATGTCTATGAGATACCATCAGGAGGTCAGAAAGTTGATAGCGCTCACCTTTCTTTACATGTTAAGAGCCGGTTACATGACACAGAAAGACAATCTATACAACAGCTAGGGGGGTCTCTGGAACTGATAACCCTGATAATAGTTTAAATATCCTGAACTCTAGAGCCCTAACATCGGCTACTATTTCACAAAGGATGAGTTTTCATGAATAAAGTGGTTCATTTTGCTAGTGTTGACTGACGTTGCTTTAAAAACAGGAATAAGTCTGTGAAAGTTTAGAAGCTTCCTCTTGGCCAGATAATGTGGAAGCATTAAATGTCTATCTACTGTTAAACACTGAGCAAAACTTTTCAACAAACCTCAGACTTTAAGTAGAAGCGATAATATTATTGAAGCATTGAAAAGAAGACCAACGGTGTGATTCACAAAGTGTTACATAGACAACCTCTCCTGCATGTTCTCATTGCTACACAGGTCAGACTGCATTTAAAGAGGCATTAAAACCTCGGCACAATGAGTTTATTCATTCGGCTGTGGTCATGTGACTGTGGGAACCTGAATGATCTTCCAGCCAACAGTCAGTGAGAGAAAGTAGCTGAGCATCAGAGGAACCGCTGAGATCCCAGACGTTTCTACTGATACAGATAGGGTTGCAACTTGCAACGGTTAGAAAATTTTGCATGGAAATAAAGCAGCATATAAACATCCCTGTGTACCAACATTAAAGCTGTAAGGCCAGCTACTTTAAACTATTAGAACCATTATGTGATAGATTGTGAATAGTTCACAGTTGGTGCACCAGTCGAGCACCAGCTACATTAGAGTTCATGTAACTTCAGTCACTGTTTTCCAGTAACACCAGTCATCTTGAACTTGTGGTCTATATTTGTTCTTGAGGAGGGGTCAGATGTGGCCTACTGCTGATCCATAAACACACACTCACTCTAACACTCTCCCCTGTGGTCAGAGTCACAAGACCCATCCACAAGATCACATTTCACCAGCAAATGTAGCCAGGAGGAACACAAATTCATACACCATGTAGAATTATCGCCATTTCTACAAAATGTATATATGTCTGTTTTAGTGCAATAGTAAGTTACATTTTGACTGAACAGCTATAGTTGCTTATAACTACATTTATATTTGAAATCCTGACAGCCATTTCCTGTTAGAAAATGTGAACAATCACTGTAGAATTCACCTAGCATCGGCGTCAGTTTTGCACACGCATTTTATTCAGAAAACGTTAAAATCTAGCAATTTATGGAAGCCATATTTTCTTGCAATTTTGAGTTTATATCTCACAATTCTGACTTAATAGCGGAATAAAAAAAGTCACAACAACTACTTTTATTTCGAGGCAAAATAAAACAGAATTGCGAGATGTAAACTGAAAATTCAGAGAAAAAAGTCAGCATTGCGAGATATAGGGTTGCAAAGGGGTGGAAAATTTCCGGTAAATTTCCAGAAACTTTTGTTTCCAAAATGTTTGGAATGTTTCTGAAATGTACCACCCTTTTGCAACCCTAGCAAGATATAAACTCAGAATTGTCAAATTTGTGTTTATATCTCGCAGTTCTTTCACAGTTCTTTCAAGTTTTTTCACAGAATTGCGAGAAACAAAGTCTGAATCGTGAGATAAAAAGTCAAATTACTTTTTTTTTTCTTTTTTTTTTCAATGGTGGAAATGGGCTTCCTTATGACTTCTGCTAGAATCAACCACAGTGATGAAGCACTTATTTTTATGTATACATTCGATGTTATAATGAACTATTATTCTTAGCACAAAAGCTAAAAAGATAATAAACATCCATATCCATGTATTAATGTAATTTTTAACTATTGTAACTATTTATTTATTTATTTAAAGCTGCAGTCTGTAACTTTTGATGCTCTAGCGTTTAATAAACAGAACTGCGTGCGTTTTGTGGAAGAGCATTGCGACCGGAGCTACTTCTCTCTGTTTATGTCTATGATGAATCATGCAGGTACTGGGCTACACCGCAGCGGTTCCACCAGTACCCGTCTGAAATAGTCCGAAAATGGATTCATGATGTACTCGATTATATACATTTTGTACATTTTGAACACAAAAAAGTTACGGACTGCAACTTTAATGTAAAATGTTACTATTGTATTTATTTATGACTACATTATTGCAAAATACATATATTACATTACTTTTTGTAAGATTTACTTTATAACTAAAAATAAAGTCAAATTTTTTTTTTTTTTTTTTTTTTTCCAATGGTGGAAATGGGCTTCCATAGCAATTAGCATAGGCACCATGCAAAACCGCATTTTATTGAACAGAACATAACACCAAAAAAGGTCTAAATGATGGTGGATTATTTCCAGACACTTTCAAACACGAATTTGAAAAGATGTGGAAACATATCAAAGCTGTGCTGGGAAAAACAATAAGGCAGAGAAAGTGAGGTTTAAAAACAGCCAAATACCGACGAGAACAAAAGAGGGTGAAAGAGTGTCTGCCACGTAAAGGTCAGACAGGACTTAAGCATGACCCCGTCTTTTCAAGTGATGAGAGAGAGCAGCTGCGGGTGGCAGGCCTCGATAAGGCCGTGTGTTGGAGTCTGATAGAGCTGCGCGGTGGCGTACAGCTATCTGCCTCCACACAGACCTGAAGGTTGTTGCCTCAGTGACGGACATTAAAGAAGGATGCAGGATCCATTTGAGAGAGATGAGAGCTTTCACCATGACAACTGACACAGATATGTCTACAAACAGGCTAATGTGCCAAAAAACCACTTTACTAAAACCAGTTAGTCCAGTACTTTCCTCTCAATACCTATTTCCTCTGATGTAAACAGAAGTATGAGGTTAAAAATGACTACCGTTCTAAAGATTGGGGTCGGTGAGATTTTTTTGTTTTTAAAAGAAGTCTCTTTGCAAGGCTGCATTCATTAGATCAAAAATACAGTAAAAACAGCAATACTGTGAAATATTATTGCAATTAAAAATAACTGTTTTGTATTTGAATAGATTTTCAAATGTAATTTATTCCTGTGATGCAAAGCTGAATTTTCTGCATAATTACTCCAGTCTTCAGTGTCACATGATCTCTCAGAAATAATTCTAATATGCTGATTTGATGCTCAAGAAACATTTTTTATTATTATAATGTTGAAAACAGCTGTGCTGCTTCATATTTTTAGTGGAAACTGTGATACATTTCTATTCAAGAATCTCTGATTAAAAGGACAGCATTTATTTAAAACAGAAATTATTGTAAGTGTCTTTACTGTCACTTCAATGTACTAAATTGCTGCTAAATAAAATATAAATTTCTTAAAAAACAGTAGTGTATATCATATTTATAATATTATACTAATAAAATATTATATTATATTTATAATATTTACGCAATATTTTACAGGTAAAACAACAGTTATTGAACTGTGATTCAATAAAAAAAAATTTGTATCAAATTTTTTTTGATTACATAAACGTTTTTAGGAATCTTTAATAAATAGAAATTTTAAAAGAACAGCATGTAACTTGAAATAGAAATCTTGTAACATTATAAATATTTTTACTGTCATTTTGGATTAATTTAATGCTTCCTTGTTGAATAAAACAATTCAACCCCCAAACCAAAAATGTATAATGTATAATATACTAACATATGAAAGCTATAATAATGTATATACTATACTATAGGGTTGTCAAAATGGCTGAAAAACTAAATTCAAATTTTGTACTTAAATATAATCAAAATTCGAATTATATTCGAATTTAAAATGCATACTTTCAGTTAGGGTGAAGAATAGCTTTTGGCTTCTCTTCTGAGGCCGCATCGAGCAAAATATTACTAATGCACGTTTATTCCAGGCATAAGATAACGACTATCTGTGAAAAAAGTGCATAATGTTTAAAATAATGTTTATAAACCAATTATAATTAAGTTGCTTAAACAACTATAAACAAAACAGCATCATGTATGTATGCATAGTTTAATACAAAGGGCGGAAAGCCAATCACACAGAGTACATTTTTCATTTAAAAACATGAGATGCAGTGGGATGGGGAAAAAAACCCACCATAAAGTCTTGATATATTGCATTCGAATGTGGATTTTTATTTTAAATTCGACGAATATTCGAAATTCTAATTATTTTTTGACAGCCCTAATATACTAATATGAAAGTTTATAGCAATCTTATTTTTGACTGGAAGTACAGAACCGCTCAATTGTGTCCCATCAGCAGGCCAGTGCTGTCTAGTTTATTTTGCAAGCACAGGCCCTCTGGCAAACAGGACAGTCTGCGTGGAAAAACATCGACAAGGTCAGGACACCGAACAGCTCGACTACACGCAGTGACCCAATGAATAATTACTGAAATGAGAACCTGTCCATGTCATTTACCAAAAAAATGTTCCTATATATAGAAAATCTGCAATTACAGGGAATATATTCGATAGTGCTGTTTATTTATGACCCCTGAGGGTCATTCTGCAAAAACTGACCACAACAACAGTGTCATTATAAATTCTCCAGGGCACACTGTCCTTTTTGCTGGGTTCATTAAAAGTAAAAGCTCATAAGACCAACATCACGCAAGTCATATGGCAAAGAGAGTTTTTTTTTTACCATGAACCTTTCCGAAATCATCCTCTGACCTGAGCAGGTGTGCAAGTCAGATCAAACAGGCAATCAAGCCTCTTATGGCTTAAGCTATGTATTAAAGGAATATTCTGGGGTCAATACAAGTTAAGCTGTCATAGTGTTGATTAACACAGGAAATCATTTCAACGCGTGACACAGTTCGTAAAAAAAAATAAAAAATGGTAAGGTGATGAACATTATTAGGTCATAAAACTGACTGGTTTTTAACTCCTGTATTGACCATGTAAACTGGTAAACCCAGTAACATATTTAATCACATGACGCATGCTAAAATAACAGAAAATGCTCAGGAATCAGGAATTAGTTACATCTATTAAACATCACCAGAAGTTACCCCATTGCTTAAAGGACAATTTAGTCAACTTTACAGCTCAAATAATAAACATTTCTATAAGTAGGAATTAATACAAACACTTTACAAGCTTAACAGTTAGCCTGTAAAGTTGCAAAGACTAAAGTCTCAAATCCAAAGAGATATTCTTTATAGAAGTTAAGAGTCAACCACGCCTACCTAAAACGGCTCGTTCTAACACGCCCCCACATGTCTACGTCACAATGTGGGAAGATTTGCATAACGCCGCCCAAATGTTCACACAAAGAAAGAAGGCGTAACTTTGATTCTCGCTGTAGTATTGTTGTTGCCGCCGCCGTCATGTCGTGAAGACGCTGTGTGTTTCGTTGTGAAAGCGAAACTACTTTGTTTGGTCTTCCAAAAGAGGACGATATCTGCTTCGTCATGCCTGGAGCTGATCCGTGCTGGTCGCTGAGGAAATACATCAACTTCGCGCTGTGGATCGCCGGATCGGCTTTCACCGTGGACGAAGCGGAGTCCAGCCCGGGGTCGTCTCATGTGGTTGCCGCAAGCCCGCCCGCTGCCGCTCACTTTAGGCCTCTGCTCACTCTAGCCTGCTGTGCGTGACGCTGTGTTTCGTTGTGAAAGCGAAACTACTTTGTTTGGTGTTTTTTTAAACTTAAACCGCATAAACATTTCATTACACCAAATACACAAAATAATGTTCTTTTTAGCAACATCATATGACCCCTTTAAGCAGAATACAACAGCATTTCACAGTTAAAGAAACTTATTTAATATACTGTTTGCATAAATTGAGAGAAGCCCATAGTGTTAAGCATAATATTTAGACAGCACAAAACCACATTAATAATAACAATTATTATTACTATTGTCAACAACAAAACATAATTAATAATAATAAAAACCAATATTATTAATAGTAATGCCTATTAATAATATCAATATTGCATATTCTGTTGTTGAAGTTACTAATATTGTGTCAAAAATCGGAAAGAAAATAAAAATCAGTTCTGCACAGCGGTTTCCAGACACTTAAAAATCAGTATGTTATGAGACGTTAACAAAAAATAGATTGATCTTTAGAACAGGAGCTGTTAAACATAAATGACCTTAAAGATCTAAAAAGTATATAATCAAAGGAGCAAGACTGAATCAAAACAAAATTAAAAGGCCAAATGAAGGTCACGCCCCCTTCAAAGACGTCACATCATGTAAGTAGCACACGTAACATCTCTATGTAAGAGCAGAAACGCTGTAAACCTGCAAACAATCACTCATCGGCTACTCTAATTGTTCGGTACGAATACTTATGTGTTTAAGCATATTTCTAAAAGTTTATAAATGTATCTTTACCGACAGGTTGATATGTAGCTGACATTATCCGTTTGTTTACATTCGATTTCTTTCACTCACCTGTCCACAATCTGCTGCATCACAACCGCTCCCTCTTCTGCCATATTTACATGAGTCCACGCACTTAATTAATGACTGAAAACTAAAGTATGACAATGTTTTAATATTTTAATAATGGAGATTTAATCGTCAGGCCGCAGTGAATCTTAACGCCGTGTTAAACACGCATATGAGCGTCTAACTGTCATTAAACAACCGCTGGAATCCGATTATAAACCATCGAGACTGATTATTACAAACCGATCTATTAATGAATTCTCATAAATGTCAGTAATTCCAGAAACACGCAGCGACTCCATTGACTGCGCGTGAGAAAACGCGAGCGAACGCAACAACGCGCTTGTGCGAGCGTTAACTTGACTCTCGCGAGAGCACAGATGCACTCTGGGACGTGTAGTCTTCATTTCACGTAGCCAAAAATATAAAAATTTATGTTCTGGCAGAGGCAGTCAGCCTAGAGCAAGAGGGACTACGCCTGCTGGAGCAGCATGAAGATACATATTTGGCTTCAGAATACCTCGTACTGTGGTAAGGAGAGTCAACATATTTCAGTACAATTTATAAATGATTTGAATGCATTTTATTTAACATGGCAGAGCAGAAATAACAAATATGATTAGTGAGAGCTTCAGTCATTTCCCATTTCATATAGCATATGGTTAGGTAATTATGTGGTGTTTGTTTACTGCTGATGTGTTTTGATTGTGATCCTTTCTTTTGTTCGTTTTGCTTTTATTGACTTCATGAGACTTGAAGTGACAAGCATCTTCTGCTATTTTCTGTCAAATGAACTCTACTATTCTCCTATAGGAAAATTCCTGATAATTGACCCACATTGAAAAGCTTGGCCAGTTGGTTACTCCTGGTCAAATTCAATCACTTTTTGCATTTTATCCTATTTTCTGTAAGTCATTAACTTAGGCTCATAGTATTAGTTAATGAATAGCTATATTAGAGCTGTAATTTACATTAATTATTTCATAAATAAATTCCCATTATGACAGGAGCAGTGAATATGAAGCCAAGTAGATTTGCATGTTAATTTTTATATTATCTTGATATTTGATATAATACAATATTGATTGTGCCTACAGTGTATAGTCGTGAATGCTTTAAACTTTATTCTTTCATCAATTAAAGATCATTTTGATAGTTTTGTTATGCATTTAAACATTGTAACTGTCACAAAATCTGGCTTAATAATGAGTTATAAAATGTCTTGTCTATAAAAAGGTCTTGTCCTGGCTTCTCATTGTCCAGTGAAGCATTCGATCATGTTAAAATCCATAATATATCAACAGCTATGACACAAAACCTGTTCATCATATCACTGCGCAGCTCTTATAGCATATTGTTTTTGTCACATATATAAACGTTCTGTTATGTCAGGTATACCTTCTATCATAAGGGGGCTATACTTTGTTAAAGGGGTCAAGGAAAAAATGAAATCGCATCATATGACCCCTTTAAATAAAACAATATTTTCTTTAAAAATTGTGTCTTTAATATTTTAATTGGCCTAGCCTATATAAAGGCCAAACCCTCAGGACCAAAATATATTGTAGCCTAAAGGGCTGAAAAAGGGTTCAACTGTGATTTGCATGTTATAATATATTATAAGCTTTACAACATGTCATATAGTGCTTTTGATGGCTGTTTTGACCGAAAAACTACAATTCCCACAATCCCTCAGTGCATCAGCCACGCGCCGCAGTCAATCAGCTGTTGAGGCGACTGCAGAAGGGCAGCTCATCTGTCATATCAAAACCCGGGCGAGACAAACAGAAATAGCCTTATTTACAGAATCCCAAAAGGTGAACGATAAGGTAAAGTCTGATTCATGTACAGCGGGGAAAAAAGAAAGCAAGAGAAAAAAAAGTCAACCCATCAGATGCATGTTATGTGTGTTTAATAATAGCTACTCTGAGTTGTGTGCAGCGGATTAAAGTGTTGGATTTGATTTCTTTCCCTTTCCAATAACCCGGTGCATTTTAGAAATGCATTATAATATACATGCATGTGATGTGCCGGTATACAGCAATATTATTTACTGTCTTTTAGATGGTCAACGCGTGCTCTGAAGTGATGAGTTCTATAATGACCTTGAATATGCAGCTCTAATGCAGCAAAACGAGGATTAACGGACGGAATATTTGGCAGAAACGCTCTTCATCTTGTTACGATCGTCTATTCTGATTAAAATTTGATTAAAGCTTGAGTTCATAAATCCATCAGACTCGCTGAAACTGTCGCATTCTCGGCCTGTTTTTCATGGGAATATATTTGGCATCGTAGAAACCCTCAAGAGGTATGTAGAAATTGATGTAGCCTACTTTTTTGCATTTAGGTTAAAAATATCTTTTCGCTCGATCTTTTTTGCATAAGAAATGGTAGGCTTAACCCTTCACAAAATTGGTAAACAATATATGAGACATAATTCCCTAAAGGCTGCAAAATAGAGATGTGTCTCGGATATGTCTCGATATTAAGTGGCTAAAAGCCATGAAGTGAAAAAAATAAAAAGCTTTAGGGATTTCTGCTGCGTAGATGTTTTGTGCAGCATTGCTGGGTGTAACCCAAGATCCTGCAGCAAATATAACCTAGTTGCTGAGCTGTGCCATGGACTGTTGTACACCAAGTCAAAATGTCTGAACACTTTGCAAACTTATGCTTAGAACTGTACATGGTTTTTATTTTATTTTTATTGCATTTTAGGTTTAGAGAGCTAGATGCTACTTTACTGATTGTATAAATAGGCTACACAAAAAAGATAAGATGCAAAATAATGTGCACTACATACATTACAATAAATAGTTAAATTTGTGAGAATAAACATGTAGACATCATAGACATAAACTCGTTTGACACTATTATGCACAAAAGTTATTGCACATTATATTGTATAGGGATTAAGTCACGTGAAGTATCAACTTGTATTCTGTAATGCATTGAATCAACAAAATTAATTATTACTAGCACCAGTAGTGTTTTAAAATGCAAGTCTGCAGATAAACTTTTGTGTTTACGCTAACTGTCATTCGTCAAAAGTAAACGTCGTGAAGTCTTATACCAAATGACTGTACACACTTAAAAGTAAATTCTGCAAACCTCTTTTCCTCGTATATTTATGCGATTACACTCTATAGAGCGTCTCTTTTAACCTTGCTGAAGGACGCAGCTGTATTTATTGACGTATGCAAATTGAGGGGCGGGGCTTGTGAAAAAAAAAAAAAAACAGGAACAAGAATCAGTTTCTCGTTTCTGTCTGGAGTTCCGGTGAGAGAAAAACAAGACGTGGCGAAAATTGTTGAATATCGGTGACCTCCGAGCTTTTCTCTCCTTTATTCGTGTTGTGAGGGGGACAAAGCGGAGTAGCCTACAGACAGATCCCGATAGCTACATGGCTGATCAGGGGCTCATTAATAATAAAACTCCCAGCCCGATCGGTGTGATCAATAATAACTGATCATCTGTTTCAGCTCAAAACATGCAGGATGATTTACTGATGGACAAAAGCAAAGCTCAGCCCCACCAGCATCAAGAGCCGTCAAATACAGAGCCTCCATCCACCCCGACCCCCTCCGAGCCTCCGATCCTGGACGAGCAGAACCACGTCGGTCACTCCGAGCGGGTCGCCACAATACTACAGCGAGAATCAAAGTTATGCTTTCTTTCTTTGCGTGAACATTTGGGCGGCGTTATGTAAATCTTCCCACATAGTGAGGTAGATATGTGGGGGCGTGTTCGAACGAGCCGTTTTAGGTAGGTGTGGCTAACTCTTAACTTTTATAAAGAATATCTCTTTGGATTTGAGACTTTAGTCTTTGCAACTTTACAGATCTTCTTTATGCACCAAGAGCTTGTAACACTCTAAAGAGAAAGGAAAAAATGAAATCGCATCATATGACCCCTTTAAATAAAACAATATTTTCTTTAAAAATTGTGTCTTTAATATTTTAATTGGCCTAGCCTATATAAAGGCCAAACCCTCAGGACCAAAATATATTGTAGCCTAAAGGGCTGAAAAAGGGTTCAACTGTGATTTGCATGTTATAATATATTATAAGCTTTACAAACATGTCATATAGTGCTTTTGATGGCTGTTTTGACCGAAAAACTACAATTCCCACAATCCCTCAGTGCATCAGCCACGCGCCGCAGTCAATCAGCTGTTGAGGCGACTGCAGAAGGGCAGCTCAGCTGTCATATCAAAACCCGGGCGAGACAAACAGAAATAGCCTTATTTACAGAATCCCAAAAGGTGAACGATAAGGTAAAGTCTGATTCATGTACAGCAGGAAAAACGAAAGCAAAAGAAAAAAAATCAACCCATCCGATGCATGTTATGTGTTTAATAATAGCTACTATGAGTTGTGTGCGGCGGATTAAAGTGCTGGATATGATTTCTGTCCCTTTCCAGTAACCCGGTGCATTATAATATACATGCATGTGTTGTGACGGTATAAAGCAATATTATTTACTGACTTTTAGATGGTCAACGCGTGCTCTTGAAGTGATGATTTCTATAATGACCTTGAATATGCAGCTCTAATGCAGCAAAACGAGGATTAACGGACGGAATATTTGGCAGAAACGCTCTTCATCTTGTTACGATCGTCTATTCTGATTAAAATTTGATTAAAGCTTGAGTTCATAAATCCATCAGACTCGCTGAAACTGTCGCATCCTCGGCCTTTTTTTCATGGGAATATATTTGGCATCGTAGAAACCCTTAAGAGGTATGTAGAAATCGATGTACTTTTTCCATATGGTTGAGTACAATATCTTTTCGCTCGATCTGTTTTGCATACAGAAATGGCAGGATAGACCTTCATAAAATAGTTTTAAAAATAATCCATGAGACATCATTCCTAAAGGGTGCAAAATAGAGATATGTCTCTCGGGTATGTCACATTAAGTGTGATACAGGCAGACTTACAGCCATGATGTGAAAAAAAATAAAATAATAATAACCTCCCGAGCTTTTGGGATTTCTGTTGCGTAGATGTTTTGTGCAGCATTGCTGGGTGTAACCCAAGATCCTGCAGCAAATATAACCTAGTTGCTGAGCTGTGCCATGGACTGTTGTACACCAAGTCAAAATGTCTGAACACTTTGCAAACTTATGCTTAGAACTGTACATGGTTTTTATTTTATTTTTATTGCATTTTAGGTTTAGAGAGCTAGATGCTACTTTACTGATTGTATAAATAGGCTACACAAAAAAGATAAGATGCAAAATAATGTGCACTACATACATTACAATAAATAGTTAAATTTGTGAGAATAAACATGTAGACATCATAGACATAAACTCGTTTGACACTATTATGCACAAAAGTTATTGCACATTATATTGTATAGGGATTAAGTCACGTGAAGTATCAACTTGTATTCTGTAATGCATTGAATCAACAAAATTAATTATTACTAGCACCAGTAGTGTTTTAAAATGCAAGTCTGCAGATAAACTTTTGTGTTTACGCTAACTGTCATTCGTCAAAAGTAAACGTCGTGAAGTCTTATACCAAATGACTGTACACACTTAAAAGTAAATTCTGCAAACCTCTTTTCCTCGTATATTTATGCGATTACACTCTATAGAGCGTCTCTTTTAACCTTGCTGAAGGACGCAGCTGTATTTATTGACGTATGCAAATTGAGGGGCGGGGCTTGTGAAAAAAAAAAAAAAACAGGAACAAGAATCAGTTTCTCGTTTCTGTCTGGAGTTCCGGTGAGAGAAAAACAAGACGTGGCGAAAATTGTTGAATATCGGTGACCTCCGAGCTTTTCTCTCCTTTATTCGTGTTGTGAGGGGGACAAAGCGGAGTAGCCTACAGACAGATCCCGATAGCTACATGGCTGATCAGGGGCTCATTAATAATAAAACTCCCAGCCCGATCGGTGTGATCAATAATAACTGATCATCTGTTTCAGCTCAAAACATGCAGGATGATTTACTGATGGACAAAAGCAAAGCTCAGCCCCACCAGCATCAAGAGCCGTCAAATACAGAGCCTCCATCCACCCCGACCCCCTCCGAGCCTCCGATCCTGGACGAGCAGAACCACGTCGGTCACTCCGAGCGGGTCGCCATGGAGTCTCCGGTGTTACCGGGTTTGGGTTTCCCTCAGGATTCCTCTCTCTCGCCGTCGTTCGGCAGCACTTGGTCCACCAACACCGTAGACGAAGGCTTTTTCCAAGGGATTCCGTCGGTAAACGGGACGATGCTTTTTCAAAACTTTCCCCATCACGTCAACCCGGTGTTCGGAGGTAATTTTTCTCCGCAGATGAGAAGGTCTCCGCTGAGTGTGAACCAGAGGAACCCCTACAGCCACCAGACCCTCATCAATAAAGTGTCCGCATCGTCCGCTTCTTCGTCCGCCTGGAATAACCATCAGAACGCGGTGTGGAGCTCCGCGGCGAACCCCTGGAGCGGCAGAGACCCGCGGAGAGCGCTCGGGCTCGGCGTCCCGTCTCCGCTCAACCCCATCTCCCCGACGAAGAAGCCCTTCCCGAGCAATGTCATCGCGCCCCCGAAATACCAGAGACCCGGAGCACTGCAGAAACCCTGGATGAACTCAGAGCCTCTGGAACCCTTCAGAACCGACAACAGCAACAACATGCTGCCATTTCAGGTGAGATTATTTTGTATATAAACATAGGTGTAATGCATTACATTAGGACATAATAAATTGTTTATCCGTGTGTTATAATAGGAATACAACTTTTTATTTATATTTAAATTTTTTTTATATATGTACATTTTTATAGAATGTATGAATATAATAGTAAATAATATGATAAATAATGCATAAAAGTATTCATAAAATAATATTTGCAGACATCATCTGCATTTAAAAGTCGTAAAACATAAGTTATAGACTTAATTTATCATAAAACGTCATTTATAGACATCATAATAATCATAAAACTATTTATAGATTTAATAAAACACTGCAGATTTTTTTTTTTTTTTTTCTTTTTTCATTTATTGAATGAAATTACTATGTGGCCACATTTCTACAGCTGAGACCCAAAACCTCTTTATATACTTATAATTCACAGAAATGGCAATTATTCTGATATCTCTTATGTATTTATCTGACTGTAAGGAAGAGTTGTTTTGAATTATTTTCCAGCTGTTTCTATAAATGTCACTGTATGGTGGAAGGGTTCAAATTCCCATCAGAGGCTCTCCTGCAGCTGGTTTAGGGGCGTTTAAAGGGAACACCACTCAAATCTGATTGGTGCTTGTTGAATGAGGGGGCGGGGCCTGTACTGGCTGTCATGAACGGAAGCATTGCATACTGTTGACACAGTGATATTCTCAGATATTATTATTATCATCTCAATTCTTAAGATTGTAAAACCATTATCGGATTCTGCTGTGTTACAATGTTTTTCTCCATAATTGTGAGAAATTATAATGCTCATGAATGTTTTTTTTTTTTTGATGAGTCACGCACACTGATAAACAGAGTTTGTTTATATTGCACTTTGTTAATGTTAATGAACTTCAGTAAAAACGTAGTTAACCGAATCAATTCTAAATTGAAATTTGTAGCAAAAATACTGAGCATGAGAAGCAATTAAAGGAGTAATTCATTTTATTTGCATTTATTTTTAGAATGCAGCTTTTGCCTTTGAAAAGCTTGATTTTGATTGAGCCTGTGAGGTTCATCTGCTTGTAAATGGTTAATTTCTGATTTCAAATGTCTTAGTGGATTTTGTAAATATTTTGAATTGATTTGTTTGAATGTACATCTCTGTGTTCCTAAATAAACTGCATTAGCTTATATCACCAATATCACCATTTCCATTCAAACTTGGGCAAAAACACATATTAGCTGACCACTAGTGTTGTTATTTTAAGTTTGATTTCATGCACTTATGCCCACAATGCTGTCAGTTTCCTGATATTGTAGATCAGTTTTGTCATCATTACGTGAATGTCTGCAATGCATACAATACCCTCATTAAAAACAAATCAAGGGCGTTTCATGCCTCCATTGATGTAAAGTAAATAAAGCAAACTAAATAATAAAACAAATTTAAAGTATTTGACAACCACAGGTTAGGAATATATGTAGTTTCTAGTTTAGTAGGTAAATTATATAAGGTATGCAAGCAGGCTGCCACAATACAAGATGTGGTGTGTGTGTGTGTAGTTGTTTAATGCTGAAATATGTGTGGCTCGTGTCTGATAGTGACTGAAGTGAAGAGCTCAGCGTTTTGATTGCTCATGATTTTCACAAAGTGGGCAGATTTTTATCTGGAACCTGAGAGGGGAAATATCGCTTTTCAAATGCTCAGCCATTTGCACGACAATGGGCTCGATGTGCAAACAATGTGCTTCCCTCGGTTGGCCTCTGCCCACTGCTGTATTCATCCACACACTTTCACCAGCTCAGTCTCTCTGTCACTTTTTCTTTGTTCTCTTGCTCGTTGCCATTAACTTGTTTAATTGCATACAGTCATCTCACCTGATTAGTGTTCGACAGTGAGAGGGCAGGAGAAGAAGCATTGAGATCGAGATGATGATCAGTAGTCATGCGCCACAGTACGAGTTAGAAATTCATAGTGCTTCTGATCAAAAAACATAATGTTGTTGCCCCGAGGGATTATTTCCAGTGTGCTTTCATTTACTGTGAATATAAACATTTGCTACAAAGTGACTGTCTGTTGACTGCTGACGAAACTGATCAGTGGGTGGATCGAATGTTCTTACCAGTCTGTCTGGAAACAAAGTTGCTTTTATAAAAATTCAAGATCTTTATTGTCATCAGTACAGTGTAATTCTTATTTTGTCCATTTTTCTTGAAAATACGAGGTAGAAGGGCACTTTTGCTTTGAACGATTAATTGCCGCTTTGAATGATTGCATAATTGTGGCATCCATAATTGTAATCGCGATTAGAAATTTGATTAATTGTGCAGCCCTAATATATATGTGTATATATATTTCTAATCATGTATGGACCAGTGCTATTTTAGTATTAGTTATATATTATTATAGTATTTATTAATATTTTGACCTTTTATTTTTATAATTTCAGCTTTCATTTGTTTTAATAATTTTGTTATGTGTTGTTGTAATGTTTTAATTAGTTTTTTTGTTACTATTTTTATTTAACTTTGTTTTATTTCCATTTCTCTCATTTTAGAACTTTAACTTATTAGTAGCCAAAGCAACATTTCTAATTTAAAATTTTTTCTAATTCGCAAAAAAGGATTTTTAATAGTTTTTTTATTTTTATTTCAGATTTACCCACCCATAAATGACATAAAAACAAAACAAAAACTGTGGTTGTTCACTACATATCAGTCAGATGGTTTCTTCTTGTCTATGTGGGTGGGTTTTTGGTCAAAATAAGCTACAGAAGTGTAGAATGTTGCGGTTCAACACTAAATACATTCATAAAATTGCTACTGAACAGTGAAAAACATGTAGGAGTCATTCAACACTATTTCTGGCATCCAGTTTGTGGGTGTTTGTTAGATCTGAACTTGGTCCTTTAACCTCAGGGCTGATGCTAATTTGAAAGACTGTGAAATGGTGGTGGAGTGGCTCATCTCTAACTTCTGACCTTTGACCCAGTCCTTCTGTCTTTCAGGAACGAAATCGACCCTTTGACCCATTCAACTTGCAAACTTTGGAGAATTCCTTAATGGACATGATTGGAACAAACCATGACAAAGGTAAACATCACCCTGCTGCTGGCCCACCAGTGACTATCGCTGATATTATATGGAGGAATCATTTTGCAGGTTAGGACTATTTATATATCCATGCTTCTGTCTTCTTTTAGCCTCTAAAGATTCAAAGCACTTGGCTTCAATTATGGTTATTTGTTTCTTTTGGTATATTTTTCTGCCACTATATTTTAATGTTGAAATTTTCTTTCAGTAATTGTTGCAAAATATTGCGTAAATATTTTAAATAACATAATACACACTACTGTTCAAAAGCTTGAGGTCATTAAATGTTTTTTTTTTAAAGTACTTTTGTTGAGCAAGAATGAATTAAATTGACCAAACTGACAGTAAGTACATTTACAATGTTTTCTATTTCAAATAAATGCTAAAATATTTAGCAGCACAACTGTTTTCAACATTAATAATAAGAAGAGATGTTTCTTGAGCAGCAAATCAGCATATTAAAATGATTTCTGAAGGATCATATGACACTGAAGACTGGACTTTAGGTTTTTCACGTCAATTATTCCATAATTTTGACCAGTACCATATTCAGTGATTCTGCACAGTCCATTTGCTGAAGGGAAAGTTTAGAAGCTTCTGGGAAATTCTGTCATATGATGTTTTTAGATCACGCTAGTGTCTCATGGGACATCATGAGAGATGGCTTCCCTCTTGTAGACAATGGTAGCGTGTAAAACAGGAGGAGAGGGAAATTGTTTTTATGTGCTGGATGCATGGAGAGTCACATCAGGGGCCCCGTCTCAGGTGCAGAGCTGTTTTTTTTTTCAGATTTCGGTCGGAGAATAGCTGTGAAGAGCTTCATTGTGGGAATAGATTTGGGTAGTTGTGGGTCAGTTGTGTCTGTGATAATGAATCTGGCAGTTACAGGATCTGAATTCTTGAGTGATCACCCCTGGAAAGGTAGAGCAGAAAATCCTGACCGACTACCAGACAACCTGGCGAACTGCTCAGGTGAGCAGGTGTTAGTAATGTAGACTACAGACAGAAAAAAGATGGCACATATAGTTGCATCACACCCATCTTTCTTGGAACTTCTAAAGTCCTTTCCAAACATTTCCACTTAAGTTTCCAAAGAAACCTGTTCCCGTCCTGCATCTGCATGAATAGTGCATGTGTTTCTTATGGGAACTGCGTTCAGTCACTGCAGTTTCGGCATCTGCTTGTCATGGCATTGATGTTGTTGTTGATCAGGTTACAAGAGGTCATTAGCAGATCAATGGTCAATCAGATCAATCAGTCTGTTGTTTTTCTTTAAACTTTGGTTTTCTGGTATGAAACGGAAATTGTGATAATCTTTTCTTCCCTATTGTGATGAATATCCAAGTAAAATGGGGGTGGAAAAATGTAGGGTGGAACTTGATATTGTCCATTGGGAATTGTTTTGTTGGATTGTTGTCGTTTATTAATTGCATGAATTAAAAATAATAATGTGCATGAATAAATAATTTATAAGCAGTATTCCATAAAAAAATAAGAAATGACAATTTTGATTTCATGGTTACATTAAAGGTTACATTTCATGGTCATATCATGAAAAATCTTTTTTTGTTGATCTTTTGCCATCAAAACTGTATTATGAACACAAACTAACAGTAAGTCAAAATATCATCTCAAGTTTTATCTGTTGATATTAAACCAAGCACCCTCATTTCACATGTGAGCAGGGCCGTATTGACCACTTTTCGTGACATAGGCAAAACAAATTTTTGGGCCCCCCTTCCCTATTAATATAATAGGCCTAACATTAGCTACCACCCAAGCAAACAAAAATATTTCTTAATCAGTGGAAACCGTTACAGTGTTTTCTATCGCAATAAGCGCTTGCGTTCAATCAATAAAAATCGAATGTAGTTTGAGAACTGAGAAAGACCATTCCATGTGTAGCGTCGTGACCACATAACCACACAGCAAGACATTGTTAAGATGATTTATTTCAAGACATTTGTCATGTTTCCGTCCTGAAATCTCGTG